CATTAAGAAGCCACACAAGGCCTGATAAAAAATCTAATAATGCATGTAGATAGTAAACTAAATTGGAAAATGTACATAATAATGAAAAAGGAATAAATAGATTTAAAATTGAAGTACCTGAACTCATAGGATGATCATCCAAACTTTGATTACAGAATAAGCTTCTCGATGATAATTCCAATATCGACACATGGTATATAACATATTTGTATAATTCAGAAAGCCCAAAACAATATACTGAGAATGATATGCAGCACTTGATGGGTTTATATATAATTCACGAGGACCTAAAAACTCCCAATAGAAGTCATTAAAAGCAGAAGGTTGATTGTTCGAGACAAATTGGATACATATGTCAATCCCAGTCAGTCGAAAAACTAAAGAGAAAATGGCTGAGTGATCTATGATCCAGAACATAATTCTAAAGATAAATAGAATTCATTATCAGTTTTAAATAAAATCATCCCAAAAAATTAATGCACATATAAAATTATCAAATGACAATTGTATCAATCATTATTTCTTTATACTTAATAAAAAAAAATCAAAATGCTTCGTATGAAATAAGCACCGTCAAATAGTTTCAAATTTAAAATAAATAGTCAAATAGTTTCAAATTTAAAATAAATAGTCAAATAGTTTCAAATTTAAAATAAATAGTCAAATAGTTTCAAATTTAAAATAAATAGTCAAATAGTTTCAAATTTAATATAAATAGTCAAATAGTTTCAAATTTAATATAAATAGTCAAATGATTTCAAATTTAAAATAAATAGTCGAATAGTTTCAAATTTAAAATAAATAGCCAAATAGTTTCAAATTTAACAAATAGTCAAATAGTTTCAAATTTAAAATAAATAGTCAAATAGTTTCAAATTTAATATAAATAGTCAAATAGTTTCAAATTTAATATAAATAGTCAAATAGTTTCAAATTTAATATAAATAGTCAAATGATTTCAAATTTAAAATAAATAGTCGAATAGTTTCAAATTTAAAATAAATAGTCGAATAGTTTCAAATTTAAAATAAATAGTCAAATAGTTTCAAATTTAAAACAAATAGTCAAATAGTTTCAAATTTAAAATAAATAGTCATTGTTTTAAAAAAAAACATAGAAATTGTTTAAAAAAAAATTATCAAAAAATATTGTAAGTCATCAGAACATGCTTTAAATCTGAAAATGTTTAAAAATAGTCAGAAAATGTTAATAAAAAATAGAAACTGTTTAAAAGTGTCAAAATATAGTATTTTGTCAGAAAATATTGTGAATTGCTAGAAAATATAAATGTATAGAAAAGTGAATGTTAACTGCATTTCAACATTTTAAAATCAATTAAAAAATCCTAATATTAACTAATTACTATACGACAAAACAGTAAGATTGACAAGGCAACATTTCTTCGAATTACATATCGAGGTTTTTATATGGGGCATCACGTGCTGTCGTAGAAGTCAGAGAAATAGAATTGTAGCTAAAAAATGGAACATCGAACCAGATGTTACCAAATCCCAACATCTTATCGTTTCATTAAGAAGCCACACAAAGCCTGCCAATAAAAAATCTAATAATGCAAACTAAATTGGAAAATGTATATAAATAGATTTAAAACTGAAGGACCTGAACTGGCTCGTCCAAACTTTCATTACAAAATAAGCTTCTCGAGGATAATTCCAATATTGAAACAATATTTGTATAATTTAGAAAGCCCAAAACAAAATACTGAGAATGATTTGCAGCATTTGATGGGTTTATATAATCCACGAAAACCTAAAAATTCCCAATAGAAGTCATTGGTTGATTGTTCGAGAGAAATTGGATGCATATGTCAATCCCAGTCAGTCAAAAAACTAAAGGGCCTGAAGAGAAAATGGCTCAGTGATCAGAAGCTTAATGTTTCAAGACAAATTGGATGCATATGTCAATCCCAAACAGTCGAAAATTAGCATACTTTAAAAAAAATGGATGCATGTATGTGGGTCAAAAATGTTAATGTTTTTAAAAAAAATAATTTTTGGTACTGGAAGCTTCAGCAATTTGCCTTAAGGAACGATGCCGTGCCGTCCACTGGTTTTATTTCGATTTTCAACATCTTTACTTGTAACTTACAGGTTATGTTGTAAAAATATAACCCATAAGTATATATATATATATATACCTATAGGTATTAAAAAAATCTGAATTGGAAATCGATGCATCAAAATTGACTACTAAATCACGTATTTTGTCAGAAGATATTGTAAATTGCTAGAAAATATAAATGTATAAAAGTGTGAATGGTCTAAAAATCAAACTAAAATAAAATAAAATCTCCATTTTAACTGCATTTCAACATTAGTAAGATTGACATGGGAACATTTCTTCAAATTGCATATCGAGGTTTTTATTTGGAGCCTCACGTGCTGTCAAAAAAGTCTGCAAGGAGGGGCATAATAAATAAAAAAAGGGTAATAAATAAATAAACCTTCAGCATCTTTTGCTCACTAAGAGAAACAGAATAATAGCTAAAAAATGGAACATCGAACCAGATGTTACCAAATACCAACATCTTATCGTTTCATTAAGAAGCCACACAAGGCCTGATAAAAAATCTAATAATGCATGTAGATAGTGAACTAAATTGGAAAATGTACATAATAATGAAAAAGGAATAAATAGATTTAAAATTGAAGTACCTGAACTCATAGGATGATCATCCAAACTTTGATTACAGAATAAGCTTCTCGATGATAATTCCAATATCGACACATGGTATATAACATATTTGTATAATTCAGAAAGCCCAAAACAATATACTGAGAATGATATGCAGCACTTGATGGGTTTATATATAATTCACGAGGACCTAAAAACTCCCAATAGAAGTCATTAAAAGCAGAAGGTTGATTGTTCGAGACAAATTGGATACATATGTCAATCCCAGTCAGTCGAAAAACTAAAGAGAAAATGGCTGAGTGATCTATGATCCAGAACATAATTCTGCAAGTTATTTATAATTATTATTTGCTCACTTATTTAATTCTATTTCTTTTACTACATTTTTTAACTCCCCTTAGGGTAAGTTATAGTAATCGTGAGGTTTCTAGACATTTTGACATACATTACAAAAAATGGATGTATGTGTGCGTGTCAAAAATGTTAATGTTTTTAAAAATAATTTTTAGTACGGGAAGTTCCAGCAAGTTGCCTTAAGGAACGATGCCGTGCGCCCCACTAGTTTTATTTCGATTTTCAACATCTTTGCTTGTAACTTACAGGTTATGTTGTAAAAATATTACCTATAAGTGTATATATAACTTTTAAGTATAAAAAAATCTGTATTGGAATTCGATCCATCAAAACTGACTACTAAATCACAAGCAAGAATCAGCACGAACCCATAAAAATCGTTTCTAACAAAACTATCAAATGTCTATATACTAAATGTCTATTACCATACCTTTCTATTACTATCCGATCCGCCGCTCGTGACTTCTAAGGGTGCTCCATTTTTTTTGCATCACAAAATATTTCTTGCACAACTAACTACATTATTTATATAGCACTCACTTCTTTTTATTGCCATTTGTTTTCACTAGAATCCCATAAAGAACTAAGGCGCCTTCAATAAGTGCTGACAGGTCGCCATTTTGTGCAACTTCAGAGTTTTCGATCGGTGAACAGTAGCGCCACAAAGGGCGCCAATTTCAAATTTGAATTTTGACTAAATGATATATGCAAATTGTTATAACTTTATTTCACATTTGTAACGCATTGCAAATATAATAAGTATTGAAGTAAAACTTTTTTGTTGTTGTATGAGATGGCATTTAAGTAAAAATAAATACATCATATAACAATTTTGAATAACGTTCATGAGTAATATGGTAACACTCGTGATGCACACATTTATTAGTGTCAACCATTATACACATTTATATGATAATGATAAATTATATATTTATAATAGCATTAAAAATATGTATAATATTTACAAACAATAATGTAATTAAAGTCATACTTCGGATATGACATTGTCGGTTTGTCATTGTAATTAGCATTTAAAAATGAACCTTCATTAAAGAAATGAAGTAATTGCTGATTAATAAATTCACACAGTAAACTTGTAACAAATAAATAGTTTATTTATAGCATAGATGTCCATTATAAAGTATATATGTATAGAAATGATACAAACCTATACAAACTATTCTTGTGCTTCAACTCTTGTTTAGATTAATAAATCTGAATATCAATTTATTCTTAATTATGCAACTTTGTAATACTTAGCATGATCGAAAAACATGTAGACTTCATCTAAACTACCAAAAATATCTGAGATATAATTCTGAAAAGTATATATCTTAGGCATGATAGAATAAAGGTGTACTGCTTCAATATTTTTTATGAGCTATAAAAATGAAGATAATTATTATGTCAAACAACGCCAAATATTGTTCTTGCAACTTCACTCATCATGTAATAATTCTGTTTGAAGAACTTCATGTAATTAAAATTAACATACATTCATTGGCTGATGGTATTTTTTTTTACTTATTTGTTGACGATATAATCTCAGTCCGAGCAGCTATAAAACCTGTCTTGACTGAAAAATATTTTCTATTTTGACTTGTTTTTTGTTTTAAATCTTGTTTATATATTCATTTAATTATTAATTTGCTCTTATTTAAAATCAAATCAGTGTTAAACTGAACCATATAATATATAAAAGATATACAAAATACAATCAATTTTTATTTATACAAAATACAAAAATTAAACTCATATTAGTATTGCTCCTATTATTTTTTTACAGACAGAGGAATACCTTGAAATTAAATTAATAACAAAAATATGCACATACTTTATTTATTTAATAAAAAAAAAACTTTCTGTTTAGTTTTACAATTGCGTTCGACTTTCAACACTAAAGAGCACTTATATATATTTTTTTAAATCATTTCCTCTTGTTCAACCATTTTGCAACAATGTCTTTGTTAACTTTTAACCATTTTATATTATTGGAAACAGTTACCAGGGCTTGTTTCCGAGCAGCAGCTCCTGCTCCGGCCTCCGGAAATTTGGCAAAGAAGTCAATCATCTGAAAAATTAAATTTTAATTCGGGACATTTTTTTGGTTTTTGTCAAATAACTCAAATACTTCATATAAAACCACCCCTTTTCAATTACACAGGGTGAAACTAGATAAAATTTACAACATTTCCTAGGTCACACTTTTATACACTCCGATATAAAATTTTGAATAAATGATAATTTTGTATCATCTTTCATATCGTCTTTTTACCTCTTTCAGCCTATCCTCAGTAGTAAATCTGTCGGTAACAGATGGAATAAGTCTGCCCAAATTTCTTTCCCCCAATCCGAACCTGTCGATCATTTTTTGCCAATTGTCCTGGTTGCATCAGTACTTAAAGGATTTGCAGAAATCGAGGACATGCATTTGAAATAATCCTGCCCTCGAACGTTTTCTTCTAGCCAGGCCAAATCTGTATACCTGGGGAGGAAAATATTGATAAAAATTGATAAAAATTAGATAAAAATTAGATAAAAATTAGATAAAAATAGTATAGAAAGATGATTTTTTGTGCAAAAAGTTTTTTGAAGTTTTGACTAAATATTTAAATAAATAAATGTATATACTCTAGTAGAAAATTATTATTTAAAACCTCTTTTTAGTCAAGAAGGATCTTCTGAGCTAATATATACAACAAAGATTTCAAAATTCGTTAAAAATAATTTAAAATTAAATGAAATGGTAATTTTGATACTAATAATTTTTTTTGAAGTTTAAGCTATTTATTTAAGTCAAAAATGTTTATTTTAGTATATATTTGTTAGTTAAAATCGCTTTTTATACATATATTATTATCGCATCGTGATATTTCTGAAGTCAATTTAAAGTAGAGTTTGAAAAATTCATAAAAAATATTTGCAACTTGGTAAAGGCTAAGTTTTCAGAACTATATATTATTTTGAGGTTTTAACTAAATATTTAGAATAATATATATATATATATATATATATATATATATATATATATATACTTTAGTACAAATTTATGATTTAAAATCGTTTTTTATTTAAAATGTCACGAGTAAATTTAAGAAGCAGATAAATCCAATAAAGTTTGAAAATCGTTAAAAATGATTTATATTTAACGAAAAGCATAACTAATAGTGTGAGGGATATTTTTAAGGTTTTAACTAAATATATAAATATTAAAATATATAGACCGAGACCAAGACCGAGGAGACCGAGACCGAGACCGAGACCGAGACCGAGACCGAGACCGAGACCAAGACCGAGACCAAGACCGAGACCGAGGAGACCAAGACCGAGACCGAGACCAAGACCGAGACCAAGACCGAGACCGAGACCAAGACCGAGACCGAGGAGACCGAGACCGAGACCGAGACCAAGACCGAGACCGAGACCGAGACCAAAACCGAGACCGAGACCAAGACCAAGACCGAGGAGACCGAGACCGAGACCAAGACCGAGGAGACCGAGACCAAGACCGAGGAGACCGAGACCGAGACCAAAACCGAGGAGACCGAGACCAAGACCGAGACCGAGGCCAAGACCGAGACCGAGACCAAGACCGAGACCAAGACTGAGACCAAGACCGAGACCAAGACCAAGACAGAAGAGACCGAGACCGAGACCGAGACCAAGACCGAGGAGACCGAGACCAAGACCGAGACCAAGACCGAGACCAAGACCGAGACCGAGGAGACCGAGACCGAGACCAAGACCGAGGAGACCGAGACCGAGACCAAGACCGAGGAGACCGAGACCGAGACCAAGACCGAGGAGACCGAGACCGAGACCAAGACCGAGACCAAGACCGAGACCGAGACCAAGACCAAGACCGAGACCAAGACCAAGACCGAGACCAAGACCGAGACCAAGACCGAGACCAAGACCGAGACCAAGACCGAGACCAAGACCGAGACCAAGACCGAGACCAAGACCGAGACCGAGGAGACCGAGGCCGAGACCGAGGCCGAGACCAAGACCAAGACCAAGACCGAGGAGACCGAGACCAAGACCGAGACCGAGGAGACCGAGACCGAGGAGACCAAGACCGAGACCAAGACCGAGACCGAGACCAAGACCGAGACCGAGGAGACCGAGACCGAGACCGAGACCGAGACCGAGACCGAGACCGAGACCGAGACCAAGACCGAGACCTAGACCGAGACCTAGACCGAGACCGAGGAGACCGAGACCGAGACCGAGGAGACCGAGACCGAGGAGACCGAGACCGAGAAGACCGAGACCGAGGAGACCGAGACCAAGACCGAGGAGACCGAGACCGAGACCAAGACCAAGACCGAGAAGACCGAGACCGAGACCGAGACCGAGACCGAGACCGAGACCGAGACCGAGACCGAGACCGAGACCGAGGAGACCAAGACCGAGGAGACCAAGACCGAGACCAAGACCGAGACCAAGACCAAGACAGAAGAGACCGAGACCAAGACCAAGACAGAAGAGACCGAGACCGAGACCGAGACCGAGAGACCGAGACCGAGACCGAGACCGAGACCAAGACCGAGGAGACCGAAACCGAGACCAAGACCGAGACCGAGACCGAGACCGAGACCAAGACCAAGACCGAGGAGACCGAGACCGAGACCGAGACCAAGACCAAGACCGAGGAGACCGAGACCGAGACCGAGGAGACCGAGACCGAGACCGAGACCGAGACCGAGACCGAGACCGAGGAGACCGAGACCGAGACCGAGACCGAGACCGAGACCGAGACCGAGACCGAGACCGAGACCGAGACCGAGACCGAGACCGAGACCGAGACCGAGACCGAGACCGAGACCAAGACCGAGACCGAGGAGACCGAGACCGAGACCGAGACCAAGACCGAGACCAAGACCGAGACCGAAGAGACCGAGACCGAGGAGACCGAGACTAAGACCGAGACCAAGACCGAGACCAAGACCGAGACCGAGACCGAGACCGAGACCAAGACCGAGACCAAGAGACCGAGGAGAGGAGACCGAGACCAAGACCGAGACCAAGACCGAGACCAAGACCAAGACCGAGGAGACCGAGACCGAGACCAAGACCGAGGAGACCGAGACCAAGACCAAGACCAAGACCGAGACCGAGACCGAGACCGAGACCGAGACCGAGACCGAGACCGAGACCGAGACCAAGACCGGGAGACCGAGTGGATAATTACTATCAGATACAAGGGATCAAGTTAATAGGTCATAATTTTATATCTTATTATTTCTGGTGTAAGGAGCAACGAGTGAACTGGGTCTTTTTTCTAATTTGTGAGGATAATTGGTAAATCTTGTTTTCATACAGTCTTTATTTTAGAGCACATTGAGATCATGATGCAGAGTTTTATTACCCACCTACAAGGCTGAACTTGTCTCCATTTAAATAGTTTTGATGTATTAATGTCATATTAGATTTGCTAGAGCAACCCCAAAGCTCTATTCCGCATGACTAGATAGAAATTATTATCATTTTATAAACCAAGATTTTGTTTTCGAGTGCTAATTTTGAATTATGTTAAAGAAGTCAATGAAATTCCCTAACTGTGGCTTTGGTAATGTTGATTTTTGTTGCGATGTGGTGTTTTTATGTTAGGTTTTGGTCTAGATGTATTTCTAGGTATTTAACATAATCAGCACTTGGTTTCACCTGCTGTGCAATTAAAACAGTCTTTTGTTATGGATATTTAATCAATTACTGTGAATGTCTTCACTAAGACAGATTAAAATTTGAATGGTAAATAAAACAATATCATGGATATTTGTTATGAGTGTCTTTTAGTTATTAATTCTATAGTATCACTTCTATATTACAATCCAAGTCATCATCAACAGCGCGGCAACGAGTGAATTGGGCAAATTTCAGGATCATTAGTGAATCCTGTTTATATATGTAAAGTCTTTAATATACAGCACAATCAGATCATCATGAAGAGTTATATTACTCACACACAAGGGTGCACTTATCATTCTAAATAGTTTTGATTAGGTTTGATATACCAATGCCACATTCGATTTGCTATACCAGCCCCAAAGCTCTATTCCGTATGTCCAAATAGAAATTATTATCGTTATATAAACCAAGATTTTATTTTCGAGTGCTAATTTTGAATTATGTTAAATAAGTCAATACATGTACCTAACTCTGGACTGTGTTGTGATGTGGTGTTCCCATGATAGTCTGCAGTTTAGATTAATATCTAGGAATTTAACTTAATTAGCACTTGGTATTACCTGCTGTGCAATTAAATCAGTATTTTCTCATTGATATATTTTATAAGTGTCTCTCCGACCTTAACCTTACATCATCTTTATATCTCACACCAAAAATATCGAATTCATCAATACATTACCCACAGTTTGAATGTATCTGATGCCCTCTTCTCAGCGGGTTCTTTTGGTCGCGTGCGCATACGTTTGTCGGTCTGTAAACAAACGCTACTACTATTCCCAAGTTCAGGGGTCAAGGAGAGGCCACGCGGTATAAATAACGAAGCGACCTACCACAATATTATATACTACAGACATAATACCGCAAAGAACAAGAGAACCACGGATCACGGATGGTACGTGGCGCACGCATAATGTTATGAAGATAACATATATTGGAGAATAATAATGTGATAGTAATAATAATGAATAATATATGATTGTCTGCTCGGAGGCAAGTCCATTGTGTGAGCGCACTACAAAATCAATAACTGTAACTATTTCATTCGCAATGTTTTTTGTTGAGATTTTTATGAATTTTTTTTCCAAACTTCTACTTCCATGCTTTCCGGTCTTCAGCTTTCAGTTTCTTTCATTTTCTGTCCATGCGTATGCTACAATCGCCTGCACTCTTCATAATACCAGTTCTTTCAGTCCTATTTTACTTTAGATAACGTCGTGTAGGAAGCACTTTTTTGTAAAATGGGTTCAATTTCTTCCAATCAATTTGTGATATTGGATAGTAATAAATCTGTTAGCTAAAAATTATTATGATTGATTCCATATCCATAAATGTAATGGTGAGTGATTCATTTGTCGATTTGTCTGAACCATTCATACTTATTTATCTCTGGCCTGAATAGACAATTGTAAACGTACGCAATTTGCGCAGCATGCATTTTCTTGTTACATTTGCCTTTAGCGTTACTAAAATTATTAATTTTACCTTTCATTTATATACATTTGTATTTTATTTTGACTTATTTTTAATGTAATATTATTCAACTATGAGAAAATGTTGATATTTAGTTGGACTATATAAAGTCAGACTTGGAATCAACATCCAAAAAACTAGCCTTTGGTGTCGGAGAAATTTGATATAAAATCACAAATTCCACAAGGGGGAGGTCCAGCAAGATATCAAGTGTATTTATTTAAAAAAAAAATCACAAACGATATTTTCAAGGTACTAAAGTGGAGGTGTATTTTCAAATATAGCCACGAATAACTAAGGGAAAGAGGTGCAAAAG